TTAAACAGTTACTAAGAGATTTCGGCAAGCAATCTTAGTTTTAGCATCACTCTATTATTATTTAAATACATTTAATATTTATTTCACATCTTTATTATTATTAATTTATCATTATCAACTATCTATTATTATCAATTATATCATTTTTATTTAAAATCTGTCATGAACACAATTATTATTAGTTATTTCTATATTCTCATATGTATTATATTCTTATTGGATGAATTTGAAATTATGTGACTTTTATATTTAACATGTGATTTTGGCATGTAATTTTTATATGTGCAATATGAATAATTATTATTTTTATATATTTGACTTCAAGATTTTAAAAACACTTTCTAGTTATCTAGATTATTATATTAAAAAATATAACTGTTATCAATCTTTGAATTATATAAAAAAAGATTATATTTGTTTAATAAAAATATTAATAATTAATAAATAATTAAATTAAATAAATTTAAATTATTAAAAATATTAAATATAATAAAAATAATTAATTATTTATAAAATAAATATACTATAAAATATTCTATTTGTATTAATATAAATTTTTAAAAGTTTAATAAAAAATAAATTTTTAATAATTACAAATACAAAATTATAATAAATACTTTTATTAAGGTATTATTGATATTTTTTTTAATAAAACTAATGTTAATACTTTTAAAATATTGTTAAAATATTGTTAAATATCAAATTAAATAAAGTTAAAATAAAAATAAATAAAATAAAACTAAATAAATTTAAAGCAAAAATAAAAATAAGTAAAAAAGAAAAATTTGTAATTATAATTTTTTAATATTTATTATTATGTATATTTAAAAATATTATTTTATTAAATATTTTCTTCAGTTATTGTTTTGCATATTTTATAGTTACTAATTTCAATTATTATAAATAATATAAAATCAAATAAGCATGTATTATTATAAGTTTTATTATTATTTAATATATTTTATAATAAAATATATTTATTTATAATAATTATAAAAGATTTTTTAATTATATAATTCTAAACTAATAAAAAATAATATTTTTTATTTTTTTATTTAAAATTATTATAATTTATTAATAAAAATATAAAAGTTATAACTATTATAAAATAAGAAATTGTAATTAATATAATATAATATAATATATTATAATTTATTAATAAAAATATAAAAAATTATATTATTATAAAATAAAAAGTTATAATTATTATAACATATTATAGTAATTATACTAATTATAATATATTATAATACATTATAATAGTTATAGTAATTATAATATATTATAGCATAATATGATATATTATTAAGGATATTTGCCAAAATCTTTTAGTAGTTATCTAAATTCTATTAAAATTATAATAAATTATTAGTAAATAAGATATTAAAATTTTGTCAAATTTTGAAATTTATTTTTATAATTCATAATTTTATAATTTATAATTTTAATTTTATAATTTTATAATTTTTAATTTTTAATTTTAATTTTATAACTTTTTATTAATATATCTAATATATTCAAAATATTTAATATATTTAATATATTTACTAAATTAATTATATTAAAAATAGTAATTATATTAAATATATTTATTATATCAATATATTTTTAAATTATATAAATATAATATAAAATAAAATCTTGAAAATTATCAATTAATTATTATAAAAATTAGCTAATTAATAAATTATCTCTTGTTTATTATTAATAAAATTTGTATATTAATTAATTAATTCATACTTATTATATTTACTAATATATTTATATTTTGCATTATTGAATATTAATTAAGTTACTAAAAAATATTAGTATTATATTGCTTTAGAACTGTTCTATATTAAGTAAAAATATTATCTATTAGTAATAATAAGAGTTTATTTAATAAATATAAAAAGATATATTATATAATAATTCTGAAGTAATAGAATTCAATGAAATTAAGTAATAAAATACAAATAATATAGATATTAATTAAATATATAGGTTACAAAAATATCTATCTATAAATCTACTTATAATATTATTAAAATCAAAATTTTGCTAAAATTCTAATTAATAATTAATATATAACTTATTAAAATATTTTTAGAGAAATTTTGATAAGCATTATCATAATTAGGCTCCTAATAGATATTATCATGATATAAGTATTTAACCAATATCTAATAATAATAATTTTATAGTTACTCGATCTCTTCATAATAAATATACTTTGAGATCGCTATGCAGTGTGTTTTCTTTTATCAGTTAGATAGACTCTTACTATTACTAATAGATATTATATTTATTTAGTGTGAGACAGTTCTATAGCAATATAATACTAATATTCTATAGCAACTTTGGTGGTTATCCAATAATGTGCAATAAATACAAGTATTTTAATAAGTTATTATTTAATTAATTAATGTACAAATTTCATTAACAATAAACAAGGATAGTTTATTGATTAGCTAGATTTTTGTATTAATTAATTGATATCTTTTTCAAAGCTTTAATTACTCTTTATTTATTTTCTACTAATAAATGTTACATTTATAATTAATTGTATAAGTTGATAAATAATAAATACTATGTAAATTGTGATAATTACAGTAATTGTTGTAAATAATGATAATTACAGTAATTGTGATAATTATTACATTTATAGAAGTTATAGAAATTATAGAAATTGTGTAAATTATATAAATTATGTAAATTATAGAAATTATGTAAATTATGAAAATTATGTAAATTTCCAGTCATAATAATATTCTTATATATTATAATTTATTAATAAAAATACAAAAAGTTGCAATTATTATAAAATAAGAAATTGTAACTATTGTAACTATTGCAGCATATTATAATAATTATAGTATTATATAACATATTATAATTTATTAATAAAAATATAAATAGTTATAATTATTATAATTATTATAATATATTATAATAATTATAATATATTGCAATTACAATTAATTATATGTATAACTTTAAAATTTTTTTACTTTTTAAAAAAATAAAATTTTTAAAAATTATCTGATAATATTTTTTATAATAAGATTTATTAAAAAACTTAAAAAATTTACTGTATAAAAGTTATAAGTATTTAAAATTAGATATTTTTATATAATTAAAACAAATCATGTGATTTTTATCATGTAATCTAATTTAATTGGTTAGCATCATTATAATATTGTTCAAATTATAATTTTATCAAAATTTGATATATATCACATGATTAACATTTCAAATTACATGACTTTTCTAACACATTTTTTTAGAAAATTGAAACAAATCCACGTAATTGTTAAGATTTCTGATATCATATTAATCAAAAATAGATATTTTGTATTTTGCACTTGTTGATGGGCTCAATATATAGCACATTTAATGATAATTCAAGGTATCATAGAAAATTACACATACAATAACAATAAAAATTTTTAGTGGGCTGCAAATAATAATAAATTCCAAGAAAAAATAATTCAAACAATCAGTGTTCAACGAGAAAATCCATCGTTATTGTCATAATTAGTTGATAATAATAATAATAATAATAGTATTTATTACAATGATTTTCCAACCTAAATTAACGATAATTTTCTGTTGTGGTGGCAGTGGTGTCCCTATAATTTCTGTTGATCCATTCCTGCACGTAGACGCTGGCTCGTATGAATCGTTTAGCCGAATATTTCCTATATACTGCCTCTACTTTTCTAGGTTTTTTCAGATGGTCAATGAGCAATTCGATATTCGGCAAAAGTTGTTCTTCAGTGTATGTCGAATAATGTACTAAATTTGCATGCTAGTAGGGAAATGTTTAGAAAAGATAAGGGTTAATTAGCTCAAGTTTATTGATTAAAAATGGTTCGTAGTTATTTTAATTTTACCCATTCTATATTTCCAATCACATAACGCGCAAGATATAAAGCGACAGCAGCAGCTTTAGACGGTGGTGTAGCCAAGAACCGATGATCCAGCAACATGATCTCAAGAAGATACTTTGCAATAGTGCGAGCATTAACTTCGTAATTATCCGCTTTGGAATCTCGCCTCAAAAAATTCATCGGTGATGGATAACTCAATTTGAAATCGAGCGTTTGCAGTATATACTGTTCGGCCTTCAACATTTCTGCTTCAGAGTACCCGCCGTCGGAGAGGACGATGAAATTCTTGATTGATGGACCACAAATTTCCTCATATTTCGCCGCAATAAACATTGACGTGATTCCCACCAGCTGGAGTTTCACTAGCGAGACGACGCGTACCGAGAGGAAGCGATCGACAATGTTAACGGTTAGAAATAATGTTTCGGGTAAAAGACGGAGTTTGTTGTGGATTTCGACGAGCCAGTCGACTAGTATCAAGCGCATTTTCCATTGTAATTCTTTTTGGAATTCCATGTAGTTGGGATTCGGCATTGTTTCTTTCTGCAAATTATTAATAATTAATTCTTTTTTTTTTTGCTTTATTAAACACATACACACACATATAATACGTATACATGTTCAATAACAACACACTCACTTCAAGCTCATGCAAATATTCAAATATTTCAACAACATATTCTGAGACCATCAACGGATCGTTAACATCGTTTTTATCAAGATCTTCCCATTCCTCCTGAACTTTGATTCTCTTTGAATGATGTGAGGATGTTGTAGTGGTGGAAGTAGTAGAAGCAGCAACAGTTCTAGTAACATTGGAAGCGGCGACAGCAACTGAAGTTGTTGAAACATTTTTATTAACTCTTTCTTGTTGTCTATTATTACTCACAGCCTTTTCTTCACGAGTTATCAATGTCTGGCTATGATGGTGATGGTGGTTTTCAATAGCGCCCAAATTTTCACGCGTCACTCTTCTTCTTGTATATACAGCAGCTGTACCCCCAACAACCGTTGTTGTCACATTTTTATTTGGCGGGTGTCTGAGTGTAATTGGAGCCAATGGTTTAGTAGGGACTATTTGTTCTTGTTTTTGTTTTATTTGCAGTGATTGCTGTTGTTGTTTTAACGAGGACGTCTCTTCATGGTTAGAGGTTGCTGCTGCTGCTGTTGCTGTTGTCGAGATGATAGTGGCAGTTGTGGTAGGTTTAGTAGCAATTGGCTTTGCTACCCTTACCGCTGGAATATTACTGACATCGCTAAGGGCCGGACGTTTTATAGTGCGTTGTGGTGGCCCTATTTGCTTTGGAGGTGCCATATCTTCGTCCAAATGACAGAAATTTAGTTTACAAAAAAGATGTGGGTCCAACAAGGTATATTTACTTTGCTATGTGTCTTTTGATTCGTTAATAGTAGGAGATAGTAAGACAGTGTAGAAAACGAAAGAAGGGTGGGAACAAGATTAGGCAACAGCAGGTTGGTGTCGTATTTTTTTTTTAAAACCAAAAACATTTGATACACATAATATAATGTGTTGTTTTTTTGTGTGTGTAGGAAGTTTATTTTATTACTACTTGACTGTTTTTCATCGCGACTTTCTGTTTTTTCGCGTGACGTCAACATTATGGGATTGATCGATCGGTTGGTTTTACGCCGTGGCTGGTGTGGCGTTCGTTGACTTTTATGATGCCGACACGGAGTATAAAATTAGAATGAATTAATTTTTAATTTATTAAGTTGGTCGTTATGAATTAATTTTTGAAATATAGTTTTTCGATTATTGACGAGTGACATAACGATAAATAATAAAAAAAAACATTTCTTTTATCTAGAAGTCTTACCAAAAAACAGAAATATGGAAATAGAAAGAAGAATTATACCTAAATCAGTCAATCAATTAAGCTTAAAAGGCTAACAATAAGAGAGTTGTCAGACAAAGAGATTGACAATGATCACGCTCTCAGATATAATAGACAATGCAACAACGAAAAAACAAATCAATCAACGTTCAATAACAAATAACTGCATCCGCAGCAACCTGTTGTTTCTGGAACAGCCAAGCATAAAAGAAGTAAAACTTTTCTTTGCCGTAAAATTAGATAGAAACTTGTAAATAATCAAAGGAAAAAATTTTTCTTTTATATTCAATAACAACCACCAATCAAAACATTTATTTTCCTCGTTAGTCAACCATGCACTCTCTTTCCCAACACCACAACAACCCTCAGTTGCAACAGTATCTACAGATGCAACAGGCACAACAAGCAGCCGCTTCCGCGCTAGCTACTCCAAATCACTTAAACTTGAGTCTTCCAGGTGCCAACTCTCTTTCTAATCATCTTCATGCCTCAGCAGCAACTATACACGGACTACCGATGGGCGGAGATCCATGGGCGACTGCAACTGGTGGCCCGATGAGTTTACCAGCTATGCAACAACAGCAGCAACAACAAAAATATGCTCAATCGATGGAGGAGGATAAAATTTATTCGTTGGTTATTGAACTAACAAATCCGGTTGAGCGAGAACGAGCTTTGCTCGAGTTGAGCAAAAAGCGAGAGCAGTATGAAGATTTGGCGTTAATACTTTGGCATTCTTTTGGTATTTTACATAAATATCATTATGCTTTCGTTTTCCGACTTTTTCTTTTTTTCTTGTTGATTAATCGAATGTTATATGATAGGAGTGATGGCTGCGCTACTTCAAGAGATTGTGTCTGTATATCCAATGTTGTCACCGCCTAATTTGACTGCTCATCTTTCAAATCGAGTTTGTAACGCCTTGGCTTTGTTGCAGTGTGTGGCTAGTCATACTGAAACACGTGAATTGTTTCTTAACGGTGAGAATTTTGGATTACTTGGTGCCAAGTCTCCAATCTCGACTTATCATTTATTAATAAATATTTCTATACATAGCCCATATTCCTTTGTTCCTCTACCCTTTTCTTAATACTACGAGTAAGACCAGGCCTTTCGAATACTTGAGGTTGACAAGTCTTGGTGTTATCGGTGCATTAGTGAAGGTTTTTACTTCGTCTTTTAAATCTTTCTTTGATCGATATACTGTTTTATTATCACAAACTAAATACAATTAAAAATATAGAACGATAACACTGATGTCATTCAATTCTTGCTATCAACCGAAATTATACCACTCTGTCTTCGTATCATGGAAACTGGAAGTGAACTATCAAAAACCGTGGCAATCTTTATCGTTCAAAAGATCCTATTGGATGAAACAGGCTTAGCGTATATTTGTCAGACCTACGAACGATTTTATGCTGTGGGCACAGTGCTAAGCAATATGGTTAATCAATTGGTTGAGACTCAGGCTGTTCGTCTGTTGAAACACGTCGTTCGTTGTTATGTGAGGTTATCGGAAAATCCAAGGTTAATATATTGTTAGTTGATTATTTAGGAATAATAAATCATTAATATTGAAAGTGAATAATTACTGGTATGATTTTTAGAGCCAGAGAAGCGTTACGTCAATGTTTACCGGAACCTCTTCGCGATGCTACCTTTTCTTTGGTGTTAAAAGATGATGTAAACACTAAGCGTTATTTGGCGCAACTTTTGGTCAACTTGTCAGATAATGTGGTGACCACCAACTGATAATTAAGGAAGCTGCGTATTTGTTGCTGAGGATCATATATATAACATACACATACTCTTTTTTTACTCCTTATTTTCTTTCTCCTTTGTTATATAGTTAATACTTTATTATTATTCTAAAAATTAATTGTATTATATCCTTTTTATTGCTTTTGATACCATTTTTTTTATTTTATACTAATTTCAAAGTCTGAGGTCCTTTTCTCTATCTCGCTTTGTGCCATCTTCCTTGGTCCTTTATTATTTATTAGTATTTATTCTCATGATATTGTTAATATACAGTTCTTTGTGTATCAAGAGGACATTTAGTTATTCAATCAGTCAATCACTCAACCAATCAAACAATTAATTAATTAATTAATTAATTAATTGATTAATTAATTAATTTGTTAATTAATCACATCAATCTCTCTTTTCTCCTAAAAAATAATTCTTTTATAACATTCCTTTTTAACAACACACATACGTACTATATATACACACATATACATATACATACACACACACACACACACATATATATACTTACATATACACGTACATATACATACGAATCTCTGTAATATCTGTCTAATATTTTTTTTTTAATTTTTTTCCTTTTAATATACACACAACATTGATGATGGTGACTTTCGAAACAACAAGGCAGAATCATCATCATCATCATCTTTATTGTAACAATCGAAAGGAAAAATCTTCATACATACAAACACACTATTAGAGTATATAGAATTTTTACTTATATAAATACACGCAAAAAAAAAAAAACGGGATGTTTTATCTTATGATAAATAGTTTAAGAGCCATTCTATTTGTGTAAATTAATAATAAAAGTTAAGTTCGCGGTCATTGAGATTTTTTTAATAAAATTTAATAAATTTCGATTTCAAACATAATTCATCAGACTAAAAAAGTATAAACCGGTCAAGTGATCGATTGATTCAAATTTAGAGCATTGATCTATTGTTTGTGTATGTTTAGCCAGTTATGAGCACAAAACATCGAAAGAAACCGTATAGCGGTAAACAGAAGCGTAAGCAGCTTCAGGAACGACGTGTAAAGAATATCGAGAGACTTGAAGGTTTGTTGTGGGTGTTTTTTTTTAGTGGTAGGCCGGAGTGAACTGCATGGTGATATCAAAAATATAAATTGATTTTTTCTTGCTCGATTTTTTTTTTTGATTTTTGCGGGTAACAATCAAATTTACTGTTCAACCGAATATTTTTATTGATTTCGTTCTATATATTCTATATATATAGAATATGATGATGATTTCGACGAGAAATCATCCAAAAAATTTGACGACGATGAGAAAGATAATAAACCGGGAAAGAAAAATGATCCTACAAGGTTTGTTTCTGTAATTTAATTATAATTCGTTTTTATATATTATTAATGTTATCCTTTGATTATACATAAAGACTTTATTCAGTATTTAAGAAATTAACGCCTCGTGAAGTTCAAACGAATCGATTGGCGAGCATGAAACCGTTTACGCGACTTGATGCTAAAGTTTTGTAAAAATAAATTATTCGAATTTTTTTACTCTGACTTGAATAAAATTACGATTTCTCATCTAACTTGATTAATTTTTTCCAAAATAAAAAAAAACAGTCAGCATTAGAAGTCTCCGTCCAAGACATCTACACGACAATAATAGAATTCCCGAAACGACCACCATGGAACCACCAGATGAGCAAAGAGGAGTTGATCGCCAACGAGAAAAAATATTTTCAGCGATGGCTGAAGGATATCTATGATCGCTGGGGAAAGGAGGAGCTGAGTTTTTTTGAGCATAATTTGGAGGTTCGTTTGTTGTTGTTCGGGTGGTTTTAATTTTGGTTTTCGGATTTTTTTCGCTGTTTGATTGATCAAATTTTATTTTTGCTTTTTTAAGGTCTGGCAACAATTGTATGTTAACATGAATTTTTTTTTGAATCACATATCTTATTCCAATTAATTAATTAATTAATTAATTTATTTATTTATTGCGGTCTTTTTCTGATAAAGATGGCGAGTTTTCGAAATATCAGATATTATCCTAATAATCGTTGATATCCGACACCCGTTACTACATTTTCCGCCGTCGCTGTATAATTATGTGGTCAAGGAACTTAGACGGGACATGGTTCTTGTGTTTAATAAGGTGTGAATATTTCTATATGTAACTACTTGAGCTCGAATTGAAATTAAAATTTCCGATTTTCAAATAGATTGATTTAGTAGCTCGAAATACAGTCGACGCTTGGTCTCGATATTTTAAACAAGAGTTTCCTAATGTGCATATCGTGGGGTTTAGTAGTTTTCCAGTGGACAAAAAATTTGTGGATGATACTACTACAAGTTAATAATCTATTTTATAGTGATCGTTTTTTTTTTTCAATTTATATTCAATATATTTCATCACGAAACAGCCTACCTCCAGAAAAATGTCAATCGTCCATCACGTCGTCGTAAACTTCAAAATCGAGGCTCAATCGGAAAAAAAGACTTACTTGTTGCGTGTAAAGACATCAAGTTGGTGAAGAAGGGTGTGCAAGTGGACTGGGAGGGTTTGGTATTGCAGTATGAACAACAGGAACGAGAGCATCAAGATATTGAAGAGGAAGATGAAGGAGATGATGAAGAGTTGGGAGATACTGAAGAGGAGGAGGAAGAGGAAAATGTTGATGCACGCGACAAAGATGATGGTAATGATGACTTTCAGAAGAAGGAAGAGGAGAAATTAGGTAATTGAATTAATATATAAGAGCATGATTTTTAATTCCAATATTAATTTAAAAATTCTGTTGTTTAGATGACAATAATGCTGTTGTCGATATTCATGAATCAGAAGTTGCTCCTCATAGGGATTACATTACTATTGGACTTGTTGGTACGAAATGATAAACCGTAAAAATGCAAGATTGAAAAATATCATGCGTTTAATTCATGAATATTCGTATTAGCTGCGTAATTACATATATATTTTCTTGATTGAATCATTAATTTAGGACATCCGAATGTTGGAAAGAGTAGTCTAATAAATAGTATAATAGGGAGAACGGTAGTGAGCGCTTCCAAGACTCCGGGTTAGTTTTTGGATTTCTTTTTCTTTATTACTATTTCAAAATTTATGTATTTATTTGATTTTTTAATAATTATTAGGGCACACCAAACACTTTCAAACGATCCATTTGGCAGGAAATGTTCGTCTTTGCGATTCCCCAGGATTAGTGTTTCCGAGTCTGCTTCCGAAAGCTACCCAGGTTTTTGCTTTTTTTTTTTGAAGTTGGGTTCTATCAATCGTTTCTTATTCATTTTTTAATTGTTTTCGCTTTCGTAGATACTATCGGGGATGTATCCTATTTCGCAAGTTCAAGAGCCTTATAGTACTATTCAGTATTTGGTAAGTGCGCAATAAATATTACTAAGAGAAGATGTATTAATCTTAATTTTCTTTGTAGGCTGAAAGGATACCAGTCGAGAAAATATTACGACTGACACCTCCAGAAACTGGCGAGAAAGAGTATCGATGGTCTGCATGGGATATTTGTGAAGGTGGGTGAAAAACAAAAGACTAAAAATTAAATTCTCAATTTTCGGTTCATAATGATGGGTCGTTTCTATTCTAGCATTTGCCATGAAACGCCACTTCTTCACAAGTAAATCATCCCGAACGGATGTGTATCGTGCTGCCAATACTCTTTTGCGAATAACCAATGACGGGAGGATCTTATTGTCTTTTAAGCCACCTGGATTTTTCGAGTCTTTGGCGTCGTTATCTTCTTCATCGATAAATCGTTCACGTCGGCCTAGTCAAGAAGTAGAGGAGATATCTACAAAATTGGGGGATCTTGAAGTAGGTCATGAAGAGGAGGAGATTGATGAAAGAAAAGTTGGTGGATCGTTTGCTTTGTTGATGAATGAAGATGATAGTATTGATGACGATGACGATGGTGAAGATAGTGTGTAGTATTCAAGCCTTGTATTATAGTTATTGATAGTCATAAATTATAAATTATAAGTTATTGTCACTTCTCCCAAATAGTCAATCTCTTATCCGTGTAACAAAGAAAAGGAATCTTAAAATATGCGTGAAGTGATCCGTGGATAACGTGTGAATCATTCGCGGATATCTATATTTTATTTATTGCTATATCGATATATATTACAATCAGAGCTCGATTTCAATTTAGCGATGTCTATATATTAATATTTCTCGATTTAGCATTTTAACGATATCTTGAAATTTGATTACCGATTCATCGGGAAATCGAGGTTTGACTGTACAGTCAAACCTCGATTTAAGGAAGTGGTTGGGAAACTTGAGAAAAATCGTTAAGTCAGGCTAAATTTTAATAATGCTACATAGAAGGAGGAATATTGTCTTTAATTAGTTATCGCTATATCCTAAATCCATTAAAAAGATGGTCATTTGACTCATGTGGATGTTCATTACCAACCCCTCTAGTCCCAATAGATTTTTTTTCATAAATGTGCTTGTAGCGGGATTTTATAATGAATGTGCTTATAGTTATTATAACTGGTTCTTGAAAAAAAGGTGATTATAGGGTTTTTATATGACGCGAGGGGTTTTATTGTGTTAGATGTTGGATTACTCAATTCTCTCAGGACGATATGATTGATAACAAAAAATATTTATTGTGAATTTTCAATAAGAAATTTTCTCGATTTTTTTAAATAAAAAATATTAAATAGTCAAATCAACAATAAATACAATTATACATAATGATTTGTTCTCTGTCAATCACCTATTTTCCTTTCCTATTTAACTTCATTACTGCTTCAATCACTAAAATCTTTTATTAGCTTGAGCCTGATACGTACGATACATCGTCACGCCACCAAACAAAAGGCCGCCAATCACCAACAATTTGAAAAAGAAAATGAGGCCCGACCATCCGGAACTGCCTTCAGGGTTTCGTATTGGATTCTATATAGAAATTCAAAATTGAAAATAGAAATTGAATGGAAAAATCGAGTTGATTTAGTGTAATAATATATTTTGTATATGTTTGTGATTTTACCTTTAATGTATGTTTTCCTGCTGGTAACGAGATTAAGTTGTTTGTTGTGATGCTAATAATGTCGTGGTTATCTGTAATTACGTCATTAATCCAGTTAAATACAAATATTTCGAGAATATATGCAACTTATCAAAATAGCCATGCTTACCGCTGACATCACCAGTAAGTGCAGTAAATCCAAGATAAAATACCGTTGGCAGAGTGACATTCGGGATTGTGAAACAGGGTTCCCACTGATCCCATGTTTTGTACTGTAGTTTAAGCTATTATAACCCGCCCAATATAAAACACGTAAATCAATGAATCAATGTTACCATTACAAACTTGGCGTGCATAATTATTTGATTAGTACCTCGAGGTAATTCTCTTTGTAGTATGTAATTCGTGCTTTAGTAGGAATGGCTTTTCCTCGAATATCAGCCTAAAATTAACAAATAAGCCAGATAGTTTTTAATAAAAAAATAAAATATCGAAAAAAAGTCTAACGCAATAGGTAACAATTTTGATTTTTTTTTTAGTTTTATTTACCTCACAACCAGCAACTTCATTCGCTTTACCATCATTATCCTGATCATAGGTAGTGTTACCATCTCCAATCATTGCCATTACGTAGGGAAACGAATGCTATTTTTTATAGTATAATAGACAAAAAGATATTAATATAGATCCAAAATAAAAAAAAAAGAAATAAAAAATTAATTACAGGCTGTTTCGAATTTGCATAAGTATCAAAAAAGATTCCAAGTCCTTCAAATTTATCCACAAATCCAAACACCGGCCCGGGACTAGCACGTTGTTTTGTGAACCAGATGGCGAATCCGTCCCCGTATAAATTTGGATTTGATCCTTCAATTTTGAACTCGACTTCTACTTGCCAGTTTGCTGCTGTTAGTGGCTAAAAAAATTCACAGTGATGTTGATAATTTCCTTTTGATTTGTATGTTTATTTTATTGGAATAAATGAATTTTTTGATTTCGTACCAATCGACTCCACAGCCAACCAGTCTGTGATGACCTATCATGAGTCAATCGAATATATTTATTCGTGTTGATCACAGTATCAGCTCCAAAATCAAACCATCGATTCTGTAAATCTTGATCTGTAGATATAAATCAAATATTTTTTCGATTCTAATCATTAATCTGATCAAATTCATTTCATTCTAACCATTTGCCTCTTTATACTAACCAATATAAGGCATATATATAGAATGAGTTCGTAGCGGTATAACGGTATCAGGCGAATTGTTACCATTTCTATCGTTTACTTCGCTCACACCAAAAGTAAGCATCGTTAATAAGACAAAGAAAGTAAGGAACAAAAGTTGGGTGAAAGCCCAAGCTATTAGGCCACCACCGCTAACACTCTTCGCAAATGGCATATTAAGTTAGTTTAGCGAGCTGAATAAGAGTTAAAAACACCGTTTCAAGATTTTTTGGTCTTGTGTGGATGTTCTTTAAATTTTATGTGTGACAGGGTTCTAATTGGCTGAAATCTTTGCAGGGAATCTACAAAAATCATTTAGCATTTTTCGCGAATTTTAAATGGACTCGATTCAAGCTGATATTCGTATTATTGGGGATTCGACGAATGGCTCTTCTGCGCATTCGGATGCCACAAGACATGTAGAGGCTGAAGATACAGACTATGCCTTAACAGAACTTCAACTAGGTAAAGGTGGAAATATGCGTTGTTTTATACGAGGAGAACCTGCACCAGATTTGAACGAAAAAGAGCTTCGTGCACGGCCAGGTTGTGGATTATCTAGTGACCAGGCATTAGAGTACGCACTAATAATAATTTATAGCGTATAACACTGCATAAAGTACCTTCCCCTGTAGAAAATTTAGACCTTAATTTAAACCAAATTATTTTTTTCGACCAATTGGATAATTTAAGATTCACGGTGCAATTTCTTCAAAAATACTTATACTGAAAGAATGGTTTTGAGGTTAAATTAAGTGGCAAGCTTTTTAGAGGGGAGGGTACTTCATGCAGTGCTATATATGCTAGACTGAATTTAAAAAAGCGAAATAAAAAAAACTTTTTTGATCTGATCGATGTTCAAATTATTCATTAATCCATTGTATTCATGAATAGAAAATTAATAGCGGTGGCCAATCAAATTCTATCAAAACATCGAGACCAATTACCCAGAATAAATTGTAAGCTTGCTTGGCCTCTTTAGATAGTTTGGTGTGGTCAGTCGACTCATTTAATTGTTAATATGTCCGTCTGTCGTGTCTCTGTATATACTTGTTTATTGTATATCAATTCTTGCAGATACGCGTGAATTCTTAACTCGACCTGATTCCTTGTTGACCATCTTCTCCTTTCTTTTACTGATTGCGTTTTTCGTGTATGGAACATTCAACAGTAGTCCATATCAATTTCGATTGAATTCGATACTTGTCGAAGCAGTGCTCATTTTCGCTGTGTTGATATGGAACGGTATTCTGTACGCAAGAGAAATGCGATTGACAACCACCGAGATCAGCGATCATGCCGAAAATATCTTGGAACAATTGAAAAAGAGTGGTATGAATGTCTTTCAGGTTCGCGTTTATATGCTAATATTACCAATCAATTTAATTGAAAATAATCGTGGATTTATCAAAGGTTTTTTTTGGATCTTGACGCGTTCTTTCTATTTAATAATAATATAATGCACTCTTCTTAGAATATAGAAATACCGTTTGTCCCTTCGGTGACTATTGGCAGAGTAATTCGTGATGGCTTTTTGCGAGATTTCCCGACATCTTTATTGGTAGAAGGTGATACCTTGGAAATGATGTACGGGGATAGTGCACCATGTGCTATGAAATATGTAGGACCTCAATTCGATAATTTGTCTTCATTAGATCCCTCTTCTCACTCGACCAAGACCAAGGAATACAAAATTGAAGCAAATCAGGTGTTTAAGCCGTCGCTTTTCGGTGGCTTCTCGGACGCAGTTTTAGAACATCACATCAAAATTCGAGGCAGATATCAGTTCATTTCCTTGCAAACCCCTTGGGCGAATAGTCTACGTGACGCACTAAATCAAGACAAACCAGCCACTGTAATCCGAAAACAGGCTGAGGTCCTCCAAAAATTTTTTTTAAGAAAAGTGATTTACATTGTACTTGGTGCCGCGATATTAGTCAATCTATTACGATATATGATAAAAGATATATTTGGAAATCACGGGAATGTTAAACAAGGATTCGAGCTGTTTACTGTTCTTCCTGTGTATGCTATCCTACCAATCCTTCCGCTCTCCTTTCCCACTTTGTGGCTGATAGTCCGATGTTTTGGGAATGCAACTGTCCTTGTTTTGTTTGAAGCACTACAAATCTCCAAGACTGAGTATGAAGATGACGAAGAAGTAGACGAGTTTGATGCTGGTGCGCCACCACCTACAAAAAATATCCACTTGAATGGAGGTTTGTGATCCATCGATATTTTAGGTTTCGTTAGATTCTTGAAAATACTTAAGTTTTATTCTTTTTCGTTGTCATTAATTAGCCGACGTTTGGAATAAATTTCTTTATCTTCTCACCAAATGGGATCAAACTTCATTAACTCGTTCCACTAATCTTTTCGAATCCCTTGGTAGCACTACTGTCATATGTTCAATTGATCGGGAAGGCACTATATCATCAGTAAGAACATTTTTTATCATGTTTTTTTGTCAAACGCAAAGTATTCTTTTTGGACTTATTCCATTGTAAAAAGCCATTACCTATATTAACACGAAATAGCCATTTCCATCTGTCGAGCAAATTCTTTTTCCTAGTCACGAAGGAGAGACCACTTTTCTTGATGTTGCTGAAGATCCGAATAGATATTTTTCAGTAAAGTTTGAAGATCAAGATTGGGAACAATACTTACCGTAGGTTATAAGTCCGGTTTTAATCTATTTTTGCGTTGATTTATTATTTATGAATTACAAATTGAACTTGGTAAATTAGCTGTCTAAAACCGGTAGGCCTTAATCTATTATTAAACACCAATTGTGGTGTATTACAAGGTAAAAAACAGAATGATCAACATCGGAAATATTCCAGTATAAATATACACGCAAAAACAAAGCCAGCCCGTCAAGGTAATCATAATGATTTTTTCACTTGCAAAATTTTTACTTTTATTTTTTATGATAATTATTTGACGCTCTTTCGTACTATGTAATAAGCATGTTTGTGTAGATTGGGAAAAGAAATTGGATTTACCGATGATGCTCTTCAAGCATTTGTACGGCGTAAAGATATTTATACTTTTGCACCATGTCACCCATCGTTAAAAGTTCACATTAGACATGATCAATGGGAAGTACCAAGCATGGTATCTTCAATATATGAAGAAACAGGATTAGGTATAACAATAATATTATTTATGAGTTTATTGAATGGATTAGTAATAGCGAACAAAAATCTTTCTTGCAGGTACTTATCAATTATTGTCAGATGGACATGTCGAAATTATACTTGATAATTGTTCTGATTATTGGGATGGAGAAGGCCTTCAAGCTATGACTGAAACGGTGAGCTTTTTGCTTTTTAGTACTTTTATCATCAATCATTATTTAAGCGAATTTCTTTACGCTTTTTTAGATAGAGAAAAAAATCTACGATTTTTATGAAAATGCCATCATTAATGATATGCAATGCATAGCATATGCATATCGGCCAATCAATGTAGAAAACAAGATCCCTTTCCTAAACTATAATTGCGTGAATGATCCTGCAGCAGCCACATATATTGTTCTGCCAACTGCTAACGACGACAAAGATCCCCCTGATTCATTCTTGGCTGAGCAAGACATTACATTGTCACAGTGGACTAGATATAAACGTTTAAAAGCAGGGCAATTAGAGGGGTTGCATGACTTTCAATTCGAAGAGGGCCAAGAATTTCCACAAGATCAGATTGAGAAATTTTACAAAGATGTGACAAAAGGGCAGATTTTCTTAAGTATGGTTACTTTGTGTCATCAGCCAAAAGCGGTAAGATTTTTTTTTGTTTGAATTCGAGTAATTTTATGATTCCGAAATTTTTTATTTTGTGTTAATTTTTACTTATATTTAGGATGTATGTAATTTTATTGAAGATTTGAGTGGTGCGGGTATTCGATTTGTTTACTTTTCACCAACTGCTGAACGAGAAAGTAAAGGTATTTACTTATGAAATAATATGTCTTCTTTTAATATAATTAAAATCGAGTTTTGAATTTTGAAATTGGAATTTTTTCCCTTTTATTAAAAGCTTATGCTGAGCGATTAGGACTGGAAACTGATTGGAATAGTTGTATACTACTATCTAGTGAGAGTTATCGTCAAATGCATGATATCAAAGCCCGCCTTCCCGTCGGAATTCAAAACATAAGAAATCACTTGGAAAAGGTAGACGATATTCCATTACATGTGTCCTTATTTGCAGAATGCACACCAGACTCCACACACGAGATGATCAAGATCTTTCAAGAGAATGGAGAGGTAGTCTGTTGTCTCGGCAGCGCCTTAAATTCTAGTAATACTCGCATTTTTGCATTGGTTAGTATAATAATAACGACTTATTATTTAATTTCATTTTCTATCGTTTCGCTTTAAATATTTGTAATAATCTGACTCATCATTTTAGGCGGATGTGGGTATTGCTATGGAACCAACCCATACTAAAGCTCAAACAAATAATGGATTGTGTTATCTCCAAGACGACGAAGGACAATTACCTTTGGCTCTTGGCGCTTCCTTAACCACTTTACCGTGTGGACTTTTTATGCGATACGACACGAGTCTCTACGCTTTGGCTGACCTCATAAGAGAAGCAAGGCGATTGACTAATTGTCTTATCATGGTATAATATTTTACCAGATTATGCTATTTCTTTTGCAAAGTGCAATAACAAAATTATGTTAATATTTTTTATTTGCGCAGAGTTCAGCTTTTATGATTGGCGGTTACTTGTCAATAACAACATTGCTGCTCCTTTCTTACATTTTTTTGTTACCTCCAATTTTCACCGGTTATCAAATATTATGGGTTCTTTGGGTGATTTTGCCGCTTTTGGCTTTTTCTTTTTTCTTTAATCCGCATGAAGCTGATACAATGACTACGATGCCAGGTTAGCGTTACTACTTTCTTTTTCGAATTCGCCAAGCGATTATTAATTTTCTGCAATAATCTAATCATATTTTTGTTTATATGACTAGTGAAAAATGCTGATCACTTTCGTGATTTGACTCGCTTTATCATATACTTTTTCTGGAGATTTTCGTTACCTATGGTAATGTGTTTGGCGGTATTCATATTGTATGTGTATATTTATTTTAGTTATAGTTATTGTCATTATTATATTTAATAGCATGGTATAAGCGCTAATTTATACTCCTTGCTCTAATATAAAGGTCTTTAAGTTACTTTGATGATAATGGCGCTGCTTCATTCGTTTTTGGATCTTTTGGTAATGTCGCGTGGCTTAATTGGAGTAAAAAGCAACAATGGGAGGTATTATACGCACAAAATTGTGCACTGTTTGTTTTTGTGTGGTATCTGGGTACGTACTTTAATTTTTCAATATTCTGTAATTGTTTTGTTCAATATGTTTTATGCGTATTTGTTAATTTGTTCGTTTAGCCTGTTTGTCTCCGACTTTTCTACACCGCACTCTTTCATTGAGAAATTTTCTACCGTATCATAATCACGTCTGGGTACTCACATTTTTCGTCAGGTATATATAAAATAATATTTCCCAAAAGCATCATTAGATCTATTTTTTCGTGTTAAACTAACGAACTATGAATTTCTTAATTACAATTTTTAATTTAAAACCAAAAGCTTAACAATACAAGCAATCTTCTCATCAATTTCCCTAGCCACCGGTCCACGTCTATCGCCATCCACACATTCGCTTGGTCGACTGCCATTGTTCTTGTATCTGGTTGCATTGCTGTGGCCGATAATTTTCATACCGGTGCAAGAGTTGGTAAGATGGCATGATCGAAAAGAGTATAAACGGTTTCAAAAACGGTCGAAATTGGAGTTCAATACAAAGTTGGGAATGCATTCGCCGATATAATTGGAGACTTGGTAAGCGGATATACACGTACATATAAATGTTTTTATTTTAATATGCAGATGTGGTTTATTATATACACCTCGGAATATGAACATTCTTGTTAAAGACTAATTTTTTATCTGTAGTCATAATGTGAAAATATCGAAGTTTCTATTATAATAGTTTAAAAATGATACTCGAAAAATGAATGTAAAAAAGATTCTTATATTCATTCCCTAAGATATTCCTTCAGAATTTATTTTTTCATCAAGATTCCTTGTTTTGAACAATAATTATTAAGTATATATATAACGATAATGTGAAAAAAAAACTAAAGAATTGCATACTAATACCAATTAAAGCTTTGATTAAGTCTTTGATTTTGAAATTGACATTGATTTGTGAAAGTAATACTAATCAAGTATATAAAATTTAAAAGAATAAGCAAAATAAATAATATCTAAAATCAAAATAGTTTTTTCGCGAGTTTGTTTATTATATTTTCATAAAAGAATGAATGTTATAATTCATTTTCTATTGGTATTATCTCTTAATATAAAATACAAAATCCTGCATTCCTGAAAATCCTAAGTTGAAATTTGCATTTTTAATCTGGATTTTTCAAAAAAATTAGTTATATTTATGTTTTTACCAAATAAACAAAATTTTCATGTAATATAAAATTTGAATATAAAAAATCAACTGTAATAAAATCATTTTTTCATCATTATATTTATATTATAATCACATTTTTAAAGAATAAATTTGATAATAAAACTACAAAAAAATCAATATAGTATTATATAAAAATAATAAATTACATGTTTAAATTAATTTTTTATAAATATTTTCTATTTTTAAAAATTTTATATAGAAAATTTCAATTTTTATTAATTAATTTAAACATATATTTTATTGCTTTTGTATATTATTGTATTACTTTAAAAATAATTAAAAATTTATTATTAAATTTGAAATAAGTTTTTATTAATTATAATAATTATATTATTTTTATTAAATCAAATAAATTATTATTATTTTAAATTATTTTTTTATATTTAGTATTAATTAGATAATTATAATTAAAAATATTTTAAAACAAAGATTCTTTGTATATTTTATTAATATTTTGTATATTAATTATTTTTAAAATAAAAATATTAAAATAAAATAATTTAATTTAGATTTTTTGTTATATTTATTAATATTAATAATTTTTATATTATTATAATTTTTAGTATATTTTATAAACTTCAAGTATATAATAAATTTTTTAATAATTTAAGTCAGATAAAAAAAATAATTAATAACTAAAAATTTTATAATTAACTTGTTAAAAATAAATATATAGTTATTTTTATAATAAGTTCAAAAATTTTTTTTACAAAAATAAATATAATTATAATTTTAATAATTTATAAACAAGTAAAATATTATTTTTGTTATTAATTTAATCAAATATAATTTTATAATAATATTAAAAAATTATATAACAACAAATATAATTTTGTAATAATATTAAAAAATTATAACAAATAATATAACTTAATAATTAAAATAAAAAATTATTTATATACATAGTAATAATCAAAAAAAATGAAATGCTAAAACAAATTTATTAATAAAATATGAAAAATATGAATTTTTCTCTTTATATAAAAGTTTTCAATTTTACTAATAAATATTTTTTATTTTTACATTAAAATGAAAATAATATTATATATTTTAACATATATTTTTTTTAGATTTTTTAGATTTAATCTAATAAAGCTATTCTAATTGCATATAAAATCAATTATTTTTTAATAATAAAAACATATAAAAAAATAATTAACTTTATATATAATTAAAACAGTTTTATCAGATTAAATCTAAAAAATCTGAAAAAAAATATATGTTAAAATATATAATATTATCTTTATTTTAATATAAAAATAAAAAATATTTATAAGTAAAATTGAAAACTTTTATATAAAAAGAAAAACTCATATTTTTCATATTTTTACTATATTTTATTAATAAATTTGTTTTAGCATTCCATTCTTTTTTATTGTTACTATATATTATATCTTTAAATAATTACTAAAAGTTTTTTGTATTATAAAAAATAAGTATATTTTAAGATCAATAGTAATATAATTAAAAATTAGCTTTAAACAAATAAAACTAATAGAATTCTATGAATAATAAAGAAAAAAATAATAGTTTTTTTAAATATTTTATAAAAATACAAAATAATCTTTAATATTATTAAGAATATTTTTATTTTTAAGTTTACTTTTTTATTTTACAAAAATACAAAATAATTTTTATTATTAAATACTATAATATAATTTTATTCTATTTACAAATACAAAATAATTTTATATTATTAAAATTTTATTTTAATATTATTATAAATTAATATTATTAAGAATAAGTATTATTTTTATTTTTTATATTATTAGATTTTAATTTTTTATTATATATAAATATTATATATTAATTTTTATTTTTATATATATTATTTTTTATATATTAGTTTTTAAGGAAAAGGATTTTTTAATAAAAATTAATATTATTAAAAAGTATTATTAAGTCAAAGTTTAAATATATAAAAGTTTATTATTTATTAAACAAAAAGAGGAGAAACAATATAAATATAATCTCATACTGAATAAATTATTGACAAATTTGTGAAGGAATGATTTACTTAATGCTAAATAAATTATTTGTTAGTTCTAATTATACAATTAATAAAATTATCACTTATAGATTTGATCAAAATTCAGCAAGTTAGTTAAATTCACATAATAATAAAATATCTAAATAAAAACAAAATTAATAAAATAATATGACAAATATAAATCTTATTATCAAGATTAATGAAATTTTTTTTTAGCAAAACAAAGCTCTAATATTATTTCATTATTTTACTTATATATTTAAAGTACAAAAATTAGTGCATATTTTGTATCACTCTGTTAAGCTAACACTTTATTGTTGTTATGGAGCATCTAGCTACGTGATCAATACTTTATATCAATTATGAGCAATATTCAATAAAATATGTTATAATAAATTTTCTTTTTTAAATGAGTTCAAAGATCAAACAGAATGTATAGCTCTAAATGAAAATCTGCTAAACAAATTATTAGTAAAACTCATTCGGTCCAAACTTAAAATTGATCAAAATTTTAACAAGAAAAGAAATAGAAATTAATCAAAATGCAATCAGTTTTATGATAAATCTGGACACTTATAATCCCTAACAAAGTCTGACTAATACTGCCAAATCTCTAGAAAGGATAATGATCCAAATAGTGATTTTATTTGAATTCATGAGTGATGAGCAAATAATAACAAAATTTCAAGAATCAAAAAGAGAAAACCAAGAGTAAAGAATCAAAAATATTAAGTTTAATAAATGATAGTGTTGTAAAACTCTGGCCCATAATTGCGAATTTTCTTTTGAACTACAAGTACACATGTTAAATTGTTTATTTGGTGATAGAGATTTGTTAATCGACTTAGTATTACTCGATTACGAAGACTGCTCGAAAGGTCAGTTCGTATAGAGTCACGTGTACTACCTTTTTTTGCCATGGCTAGATACTATTGAAATATTCGATTTATATTAAAAATCAAGTATTAGGGTTTGGGTTAGAGTTCGAGCAAAGGTTACATATAAAATTCGTCTTCTCGATATTTTTCAATAGTGCTCCAAGATAAATTTTGATTTCTGTTTCCGATATTTTTCATTTTTGTGTTGGATTTGTTTTTCCGAAAATTTGCTACATTTCTATTGGTTGTACTTTTGCGCATTCTTATTGGTCAGATTGTATCATTATCACATGACCCGTTACATTTTTTTCGCCGTGGCTAGGATACTAATATTTCAATAGCCTTGGTCGTTATCACGTGATCCGTTACTTTTTTTCGCCGTGGCTAGGTTCTAACTAAAAATTGTTTAGATTCATCCCCCCTTGACGAGTTCTGCCTTCACCTACGGTGCTCGCAAGAGTCAGCTCCGTTTATTATTCTCTTCAAACAAAAGTTTTCAACTGTTTAATCTTGAACGGCTTGAACTACTTAAAAGGGTCCTTTTTGTTTTGCTTTATAATCACCGTATACATGAAAATATGACAATTAATTCCTTGAATCATTTTGTTTACAGATTTACTCTCCTCTTTTTGAAATTAATAAAGGGCCAGGATTGACTGAATTGCTTGAATCTGGGAAGCTTTGGGAGGACTACTTTCGTCCGTTTGAATGGATGGCACGGGATTATAGTATGAACTGCAGATCTTTTATGTTCTTGCAACTTTTCACCTCGAAATGCTAGTATATTTTCTTATTAAAAAGGCTATCAAGTAAAAGTAAAACATTTGTTGGACGGAATCAATAATCTGCAAAAATCTCGCCTGTGGACATTTTACAACATATTACCGCGAGTTTTTCACACTCAAGTTGTGCTATAGAAGGGAATAAATTACCATTAGTAGAAACACGAGGAATTTGGAAGTCGCTGAAAAAGAGCTACGACTTGGATCATTTTCTGAAAAATCTGAAAAGGTTCATATTCATCCATTTATTGATGGTAATGGGCGTGTTGGTCGTTCAATTATGGCATATTATCTCGTCCGCAATGGTTATCCACCTATTGTTTTCCAGCATAATGCACCGGGTTTCTTAGCAATTTGCTTGTTTATGGCACAAGCAGGTAATGATTCAACCTATTTATACAACTTGATGTTGCGAAACATGATTAGTATTTTAATGAAATGTCGACAATAAGGAGAATTTATTTCATTCAAAAATCATGTATAACTACGAATAATTTGTTAAACTAGATTAATAATAAATTTCTTATTATCGTTATGTAATGCAAGGAAAAAGTTAAGAACTTGTCCATATTGGGCTTATCTTTTTACCAATATGTATTTTTTAACATGTGCATCGGAAAAATGCTGTCCACTTGGCAAAGAGATTGGTGTTCTGAAACAACTCCCAACATAACCAACAAAAAAAATTCGAAACGTGACTTAATGTGGCTTATGTATCACAAACACATGGATATATGTGGCTTATGATTACAAGCACATAATTTGTTTAATTCTCCAGTTGCTCGGAATCGTGTTACTTTCTATAGTGATAGATTAACTAAAATAAATCTTATTGGTGAATTAAAACGTGATATTTATATTATTTAATATATCGATATATAAATGATAAACTAACAATTTAATTAATAAGACTTGTAATATTTATAATAATGAAAATGATTTTTAGATTACCAATAAAGTCAAAAATTAAATTGCTTTTAATTATTCATCAATTAAACTAAAGCTGTAAATTTAAGATTTTAATTTAAGATTTTTTGAACTAGAAAAAATATCATATATATTAATATTGTAATTAAAAGAATTAGATATTCAAATTATAATTCTTAAATTAATTTATCAAAGTCTGAATTATCTCTTCTTGTAGTGTTACTATAGTAACATAAATTTCTCTAATTTGATAATCTTTCTTTAATTATATGAAATTCTCTTTTTCTTAATTTTTACCATTTATCACCTGATTATTATTATTTTATCCAATCGTATAATTATCTCACTTTTATTTTATTATCCTAAATCTTATATTTATACCCTAAATATCATATTT